CACATTTTCCTACCAACATATTACTTCTGTGTACTTTTTGAAGCACATCTTCCTCTCAGAATCCTCTCTATGATCTTTTTAAATACAGTACACCTTTTCCTCCCAGTATACTGTGTCTGTGCACTTCCTCTCAGAATACAACATCAATTCACTTTGTAACTACAGCAAACTTTCCCTCTCAGAATACAACGTCAATGTCCTTTTTAAATACATTTTTTTCTCTCTCAGAATACAACGTCAATGTCCTTTTTAAATACAACATTTTTTCTCTCTCAGAATACAACGTCAATGTCCTTACATACAGCAAACATTTCCCTCTCAGAATACAACGACTATACACCCACCCAAAATACAACTAACTTCTTCCTCTTAGCATACAACATCAATGTCCTTTTCAAATTCAGCAAATACAACTTTTTTTCCTCTGAGAATACACCGTCAATGTCCTTTTCAAATACAGCAAATACAATTTTTCCCCCTCACAATACAACATCTTTACACCCCACCCAATACATCACAAGTCTCCCTCCACCTATCAACTTCTTCCTCTCGGAATACAACGTCAATATACTTCTTCAAATACAGTAAATACAACTTTTTTCATCTATACACCTATTTACTTTTTAAATACAGCACACTTTTTTCCTCTCACAATACAACGTCAAAGTCCCTTTTGAATACAGCAAATACAACTTTTTTCCCTCTGAAAATACACCGTCAATGTCCTTTTTTTAATACAGAAAACACCTATACACCCCACCCAACACATCACAAGTCTCCCTCCACCTATCAACTTCTTCCTCTCATAATACAACATCTATGTCCTTTTCAAATACAACTTTTTTCCCCCTCACAATACAACATCTATACACCCCCTCCAATACATCACAAGTCTCCCTCCACCTGTCAACTTCCTCCTCTCAGAATACAACATCTATGTCCTTTTTCAAATACAACTTTTCCCCCCTCACAATACAACATCTATACACCTCCTCCAATACACCACAAGTCTCCCTCCACCTACCAACGGATCTCAAACACCTTACCATTAATCTTGGAGAGGATGAAGGCCAACTCGGCAGGTATCTCGAGGTGGTTGACTCCGGCCACAGACCTCTGCACTCGCTCCTGCTCCGCCTTCGTCTGCTGCGCCTCCCGCTCGGCCCTCGCCTTCGCCAGCGCCTCGGCCTTCTTGCGTCGGGCCATCTCCTCCTGGTGGGGGGGAAGGGAGGAGGGCGACAGGATAAGAAATTTGTATTTTCTGATGTTTCTTTGTGAGTGAGGATTGGACGTTAGTGAGATCGCTCCCGAAGAGGTGTCAAAGGTATAAGGTATAATATAGAAGATATATGAGGTATAATATAGAAGATATATGAGGTGTAATATATAAGATACATGAGGTATATAATATAAGACATATGAAATAAGATATACGATATAGGATATAAAAGGTATAAAATATCACGTTGGATCACTACTTACTAATTCGTCGAAGTTTACAAAGAAAACCCCCTTTTTATATGCTTTCTTAATCAAATTGATCCTACTGAATTGATAACAACACCCCCCCCTCAAAAAAAAAATCAAATGAATTCCAAACTTCCAAACTTCGACCGAACGAAGCTTCGAAGCCTCAGGTAAAAGCTTACGAGACCTTTACCTTGAGCTTGACGAACTTCCTGCGGGTGATGCGGCCCCTGGCGAGTGCCTGAGCCTTGACAACGCCCTGCCTGAGGGTGCGGTAACGTCGTCGCTCCAGCCACATACGCACCATCGCCTGCACTATGACGGCGCTGCGGCGTTGCGAGCGGAACCTGGGGGAGGGGGGGGAGGGGAGGGACGAAAGCGGTGTCAGTGGAGGGAAAATGCTCAAAAAAGGGGAAAATATTCGAAGGGGAAAAAACAAAAACAAAAACAAAATACTCAAATAGGAAAAAAAAGGAAAATACTCGAAAAATGAAATAAAAATACAAAAGCAGAAAAAGATAAAAAAAAAAAAGTTTCCAAAAAACCTAAAACAAAGAAAAATAAACAAACAAAAAAACAGAAGATACACATTGAAAAAAAAAGAATCGGTCCCCCTTACTTCCTCCTGGCCAGGTATCCCCTGACGAACCGCTGCAGCGTGACGACGGCGTTGGACAGCCTCTTGTAGCGCTCCTCCTCCAGCGTCTGCTCCAGTGCCTCCCGCAGGAAGATCTTGGTCGTCCCGAGCTGGTAGGCGGTCCTCGAGCCCCGGGAAACGCGGTCCAGAACCACGCGGCAGATCTCCTTGGAGGGGGCGCCCTGTGGCAGAGGCAAAGGGGAAGTCCATTAGAAGGTTAAGGGTGTATGTTAATTATATCATAATCATCATTATTGCTTGTATATTATCATATCTTATCAACTATCACAATTCGATACCATTATCAGCATCACTACGAAACACCTCCTCCACACGTAACATTGTAATAAACAGTAATAGTACAACAGCCTTGGATATCATCCTTATATCTTATCCCATTCTTATACCTTAGCATATCCTATCAACTACCCCATTCCCTGATCATTATCGCACTATCATCGTCACTATCAATCGCTTCCACATATAATAGGATAATAAACCGTAAGAGTGCAATATACAATATACATCGCCCTTATATCTTATCATATCATCTCATTTCATTATCATCATTGCACCCTCGTTCTCAATACTAAACACCTCCTCCTCCACTTAACATGGCACTCACCCTGGGCACTTGACCGGGCACCAGACTTGGACATCATCTTCCTACCATCATTATATCTTCTGACCTCCCCTATTCCCTTATTATCACCACACCCTTCTCCTCACTACCAAACACCTCCTCCTTCTCCTCCACTTAACATGGCACTCACCCTAGGCACTTGACCGAGCACCAGATTTGAACTTCCCCCTTATCTTCTTACCTCCCTTATTCCCTTATTATCATCGCACCTCACCACCAAACACTTCCTCCTACTATCTCTTCCTCCTACACCCCCTTCTCCTCCTCCACTTAACATGGCACTCACCCTAGGCACTTGACCGGGCATCAGATTTGAACATCACCCTTATCTTCTTACCTCCCTTATTCCCTTATTATCACCACACCCTTCTCCTAACCACCAAACACTTCCTCCTCTCCCTCCTCCTCCTCCTCCAATTAACTATGACACTCACCCTAGGCACTTGACCGGGCACCAGGCACCGGTAGCGCTCGGCGAACTGCAAGAACCGCATCCGCACTGGGAACCCTTGCTGGCGAATGCGGATGGTCTCCAACATGCCTGCGTATCTCAGCTGCTCCAGTACGCACAGCATGTCGAGCTTGAGGGGCGCCTTCTCGTTGTTAGGCTTGATGCAGCGGACGAACCACGGGTTACATCTGAAAAGGGGTGGGGGGAGAGGGGGAGGGGGTTAGTAATAATGACTTCTCTGGCAAATAATGGCGTGTTTTTTTTTTTTTTTTTTTTTTTTTTTTTTTTTGGGGGGGGGGGGTCGTGAAGGATACGCATAATAGAAATCTTATTATTAGGCCTGTAAATTAGCGTAGATTTATTCTCTGCGCACCAGGCCTAATAAAATCCGTCTCCCTGATATGATTTTACGAAACAAAAGAATTAATTAGCACAAAAAAAAATAAACACAAAGAATCACGAAAAAAGTTAAGACATCAATAATTACTTATTTACTTCAAAAAATTCTGCAACGTCAGTATCATTAGCATGTCATTGAGCGAAGCCCCTATATATAGCATTATGATAAGGTCTTCTGGCGAAAAAAGGTAAAAATAAGTTAACGATTAGGATAAGCGGACAGAAGGGGATGAAGAAGAGAAGGAAAAGGAAAAGGGGAGAATATAAAACCACATAAAAGAGAAAAAAAGACCCAGCAAAATTAGCTGAGGCGAGGACTGACGCCCAAGGCAGGGGACCTCAGTCTCCCTCTCCTTGAATACCCAACTGGGCACAAAATGAACGCGAACAAACAAAGACTAAAACAAATTAAATAAAAGACCCCAACAACACAGACACAAAAAAGAAGACTAATGAGGTAAGAAGTAAGTAAAAAGAAATAAGACAGAAATGAAATAACAGCCTCGAACACCCACTTGGACATGCCCTCCATGAGGTGTGCGAGCGAGTCGTTGAAACGGGCGGACACCGTGGGCGTGCGGGGTTTCATGGTCACGAAGCGCCCATTCGCCTTCGTCAGCGTCTTGCTCTCCGAACACAGTCGCACGTCCAGGAACATCTCCGACAGCATCTGCAGAAGGCGAAGAAGAAGAAGAAGAAGGGGAAAGATGGTTAATATTGGGTACTGAATTACATTATATTGTATTATACTGTACGTACTATTGTATCACATTGTATTATATTGTATCATATATTTATCATTGATTGTCTCATATTACATTGTAGTATATTGTAGTAATGAGTGAAAAGTTCATAGGATTGTTTTGAGAACATCTAAATGTTTTATTATACAATACATATATATTTCCTATAAAACGGGGAGAGAAAAAAAAACAAGAACTTACTCCGTTTCCAAACAAAAATCATAAACCCAAACAACAAAGAGAAAAACAAAACCCTAAAACGTGAATAAAGAATTAAGAAGAAGAAAAAATGTTATACAAGAAAAAAAAGCATAATAATAAAAGAAAAAACGTGAACAATGAAGAAAAAAAAACAACACAACAAACAAACAAAACAATAAAAATACATAAAAAAGTTTACAAATAAGAAAAACCTAAATCAAAACAACAACAAAAAACAACAAAACAATAAATAAATCAAATAAATAAACGCACCGAAAGCTTCGACGAGATGAGCAGTTCGACCACATCGTTTCGAAGCGTGTCTCGATTCTTGTCCAGGAAGCCCTCCACGCTGTACCACACTTGGCCCGCGTAATGCTTGATGCCGAACTCCATCGACGACATCCTGGGCCTGAGGGGGGGGGGGGGGGGAGAGATGTTAGTTAAATGAGAAATGCT